CTCGCCCTGGGTGAACCACCTTCTTGATCATGGTATCTCCCCTGCCAGGTAAGTATGAGTTGGAAGGGTCAGAGAGTGGGTCCCCATTCCCAGACACAGCCCCCGGCGGACGGTGCCTTCCACGCATAATCCCTCAGTCAGGGGCCTTTAAGCATTAGCCCGCCTCCATCACTCGGCAAGCCCGCTGTCTCTGTCTCGGAGGAACTGGACACAGCCGCACGACTGCGCAAAAGCCTACAACCTAGGCGTGCTTAGCAGTGGAAGAATGTCTGGAGCACAGTTCTTACACAGAGGGGAAGGACAATTGAAGAGAGGAGTTCAGGCAATGCATTCAGCCCCATGTTAAAAGCCACGCCCAATTTTTTCCATGGCGGCAACACTGCCACCTTCTGGACTAAGGGCCAAAGTGAGCAAAGAACCGAACATTTCCACAACCACGGTGCCTCACAAGTAGCCACGGTGAAACGCATGGCAGCCGAGGGCTGTTTTGTCTTTTTCTTCCACACAATGATCAGGGGAGAGCGCGAACGCAGTCCCCCACTACCAGAAATTATGCAGTCGAGATTCCCACATTTGGGGAATTCGCAGGGGTCAGCACAGCCGGAGTGCAATGGCCGAGCCTCGCCCTGGGTGAACCACCTTCTTGATCATGGTATCTCCCCTGCCAGGTAAGTATGAGTTGGAAGGGTCAGAGAGTGGGTCCCCATTCCCAGACACAGCCCCCCGGCGGACGGTGCCTTCCACGCATAATCCCTCAGTCAGGGGCCTTTAAGCATTAGCCCGCCTCCATCACTCGGCAAGCCCGCTGTCTCTGTCTCGGAGGAACTGGACACAGCCGCACGACTGCGCAAAAAGCCTACAACCTAGGCGTGCTTAGCAGTGGAAGAATGTCTGGAGCACAGTTCTTACACAGAGGGAAGGACAATTGAAGAGAGGAGTTCAGGCAATGCATTCAGCCCCATGTTAAAAGCCACGCCCAATTTTTCCATGGCGGCAACACTGCCACCTTCTGGACTAAGGGCCAAAGTGAGCAAAGAACCGAACATTTCCACAACCACGGTGCCTCACAAGTAGCCACGGTGAAACGCATGGCAGCCGAGGGCTGTTTTGTCTTTTTCTTCCACACAATGATCAGGGGAGAGCGCGAACGCAGTCCCCCACTACCAGAAATTATGCAGTCGAGATTCCCACATTTGGGGAATTCGCAGGGGTCAGCACAGCCGGAGTGCAATGGCCGAGCCTCGCCCTGGGTGAACCACCTTCTTGATCATGGTATCTCCCCTGCCAGGTAAGTATGAGTTGGAAGGGTCAGAGAGTGGGTCCCCATTCCCAGACACAGCCCCCCCGGCGGACGGTGCCTTCCACGCATAATCCCTCAGTCAGGGGCCTTTAAGCATTAGCCCGCCTCCATCACTCGGCAAGCCCGCTGTCTCTGTCTCGGAGGAACTGGACACAGCCGCACGACTGCGCAAAAGCCTACAACCTAGGCGTGCTTAGCAGTGGAAGAATGTCTGGAGCACAGTTCTTACACAGAGGGAAGGACAATTGAAGAGAGGAGTTCAGGCAATGCATTCAGCCCCATGTTAAAAGCCACGCCCAATTTTTCCATGGCGGCAACACTGCCACCTTCTGGACTAAGGGCCAAAGTGAGCAAAGAACCGAACATTTCCACAACCACGGTGCCTCACAAGTAGCCACGGTGAAACGCATGGCAGCCGAGGGCTGTTTTGTCTTTTTCTTCCACACAATGATCAGGGGAGAGCGCGAACGCAGTCCCCCACTACCAGAAATTATGCAGTCGAGATTCCCACATTTGGGGAATTCGCAGGGGTCAGCACAGCCGGAGTGCAATGGCCGAGCCTCGCCCTGGGTGAACCACCTTCTTGATCATGGTATCTCCCCTGCCAGGTAAGTATGAGTTGGAAGGGTCAGAGAGTGGGTCCCCATTCCCAGACACAGCCCCCGGCGGACGGTGCCTTCCACGCATAATCCCTCAGTCAGGGGCCTTTAAGCATTAGCCCGCCTCCATCACTCGGCAAGCCCGCTGTCTCTGTCTCGGAGGAACTGGACACAGCCGCACGACTGCGCAAAAGCCTACAACCTAGGCGTGCTTAGCAGTGGAAGAATGTCTGGAGCACAGTTCTTACACAGAGGGAAGGACAATTGAAGAGAGGAGTTCAGGCAATGCATTCAGCCCCATGTTAAAAGCCACGCCCAATTTTTCCATGGCGGCAACACTGCCACCTTCTGGACTAAGGGCCAAAGTGAGCAAAGAACCGAACATTTCCACAACCACGGTGCCTCACAAGTAGCCACGGTGAAACGCATGGCAGCCGAGGGCTGTTTTGTCTTTTCTTCCACACAATGATCAGGGGAGAGCGCGAACGCAGTCCCCACTACCAGAAATTATGCAGTCGAGATTCCCACATTTGGGGAATTCGCAGGGGTCAGCACAGCCGGAGTGCAATGGCCGAGCCTCGCCCTGGGTGAACCACCTTCTTGATCATGGTATCTCCCCTGCCAGGTAAGTATGAGTTGGAAGGGTCAGAGAGTGGGTCCCCATTCCCAGACACAGCCCCCCGGCGGACGGTGCCTTCCACGCATAATCCCTCAGTCAGGGGCCTTTAAGCATTAGCCCGCCTCCATCACTCGGCAAGCCCGCTGTCTCTGTCTCGGAGGAACTGGACACAGCCGCACGACTGCGCAAAAGCCTACAACCTAGGCGTGCTTAGCAGTGGAAGAATGTCTGGAGCACAGTTCTTACACAGAGGGAAGGACAATTGAAGAGAGGAGTTCAGGCAATGCATTCAGCCCCATGTTAAAAGCCACGCCCAATTTTTCCATGGCGGCAACACTGCCACCTTCTGGACTAAGGGCCAAAGTGAGCAAAGAACCGAACATTTCCACAACCACGGTGCCTCACAAGTAGCCACGGTGAAACGCATGGCAGCCGAGGGCTGTTTTGTCTTTTTCTTCCACACAATGATCAGGGGAGAGCGCGAACGCAGTCCCCCACTACCAGAAATTATGCAGTCGAGATTCCCACATTTGGGGAATTCGCAGGGGTCAGCACAGCCGGAGTGCAATGGCCGAGCCTCGCCCTGGGTGAACCACCTTCTTGATCATGGTATCTCCCCTGCCAGGTAAGTATGAGTTGGAAGGGTCAGAGAGTGGGTCCCCATTCCCAGACACAGCCCCCGGCGGACGGTGCCTTCCACGCATAATCCCTCAGTCAGAGGCCTTTAAGCATTAGCCCGCCTCCATCACTCGGCAAGCGCGCTGTCTCTGTCTCCGAGGAACTGGACACAGCCGCACGACTGCGCAAAAGCCTACAACCTAGGCGTGCTTAGCAGTGGAAGAATGTCTGGAGCACAGTTCTTACACAGAGGGAAGGACAATTGAAGAGAGGAGTTCAGGCAATGCATTCAGCCCCATGTTAAAAGCCACGCCCAATTTTTCCATGGCGGCAACACTGCCACCTTCTGGACTAAGGGCCAAAGTGAGCAAAGAACCGAACATTTCCACAACCACGGTGCCTCACAAGTAGCCACGGTGAAACGCATGGCAGCCGAGGGCTGTTTTGTCTTTTTCTTCCACACAATGATCAGGGGAGAGCGCGAACGCAGTCCCCCACTACCAGAAATTAATTACTAGTCTACATTCGGTTACTTTATGCAGATTAGTATTTTCCTCCGGCGAGCGTACAGTATTGGTAAGACTGAATTAATAAATTAATGTGTACTCACTGCGCCTCATACGTACATAAATTAATTTATTATAACACTATTTATATTGAGCATTGTCTTTATCAATAGACGGGACGTAGCGTTAATGTTAGCATTAGCGCCTAGTGTAAATAAATATTTATCATGTGTATGTATGTATGTATGTATGTATGTATGTATGTATGTATGTATGTATCAATGACCTGTTGTAACCAATGCTCATTGTTATATTAGTAATTGATAATAACAATAATAATATAATAATAATCAATCTCAATCAATCAATCAATCAATCAATCAATCTTTGTATAGCACCAAATCACAACAAAGTCATCTCAAGGCACATTGAGCAGATCTAGACCATACTCTTCAGGTTTAAATAATATAATAATAATAATAATAATAACAGCAACAACAATAATAACACGTCTGTCTTTGTTGTTGTTTTTGTTGCTTTGCTGTATCTATAAGTGTATTTCAGTATCTCCAGAAGAGAGACGGCGACCCCACCACAGATCAGGGTCGTCAACCCAGCAGCCCCTGCACATCGCCAACAGGCTGCACTGATGGCGACCCTAGAGTCCCGTAGTTATCAGGATAAGAAGGTGGTCTTCCAGGCAACGGCCCTGGCCCACACAGAGAAGCTCCTTCAGGCCGAGGGTATCCCTGTGCCATCCCGTCAGCTGTGCCTGGGAAAGCTGGTGGTGCCATTTGGCCAATACCAAAATGCACCATTCCACTGGCTTGTGGCAAATGATGTGGGCTACATGAAGTAGTAAGCATGTTATATTTAATACCATTGTAGACAATTGCACAAACTGTGGCTATTATTGGTGTTTATTATTCATCTTTTCAAAGTTTAGTTGCTCATTATCACAACTGCAATGATATTGATGTCAGTACTGAGTTGGTGTTTATCCTTACAGTGTGATTGACAAGCACAGGTTAGAGGTAACAAACCCTCAGAGAAAGGGAGAGATTGGGAACCAGTGGGTGAAAGATTACCTCACAGAATATGCAGAGAGCTTCCCACAAGTCTCCAATCTCCTCGAGGCAAACGTCGACAGGTGTATCTACGGCCAGAAAGGGTTCGAGGATCACACCTTTCAGGAGATGTGGGAACTCTACCGGCAGCACCACGCCATAAAGAACAGGCCAGAGGAGTTTAGGGATGAGCAGCGGGAACTTATAAAGAAGGCAAACAGTTCTGTAAGGAGATGGCTTAACACACCAGTGACACACATCACCAGCGCGCAGATGAAAAGATTCAGAAAGTATGTCAACGAGAAAGATCAAGTGAGTACTGGCTTGATTATTTGTTATAAACAGGATTGAAATTGTTCAGATTAGTGACATTTTAAGCACTTGACCTAAATGTGCTTGTTTACTTTTGATAATTAAAAACTGGTACGTCATAACATCTAGATAATTCATTTACCTTTTTTATTCCAGCAACTGCATGCCAGCACCTCCAAGTGTGATCCTTCATCATGGCCAGGTGATGAAGCTGAACTGGTGGCTGCAAGTCAGGCTGTGGAAGGTGAGATACAGAGTTAATACACATCAAATGATTTCAAAAAAATCACAATATAAATAATACTACTTTGTTTGGTCTTATTTTTTAGACTTGCTCAAGACCCCTGTTCAGACTAAACTGCCTGCATCCGCTGTCCGCTCTACTCTGCCTGCTGCTGCTGCTGTCCAGCCAACACTGCCTGCACCCGCTGTCCGCTCTAAACAGCCTGCTGCTGCTGTCCACTCTTCTCTGCCTGCTGCTGCTGCTGCTGCTGCTGCTGCTGCCGTCCGTACTGCACAGTCCACTAGCCAGCCAGCCAGTCATGATCTCCTCTTGGAATCCCCTCTCACTGACTCCCCTGTAAGTGATATTCACTTTATATGCAAAGAATGTTAATTGGTTTAAAATGTTTTGTAACTGCTTGTATATTCTAACATTACTTTGTACACAGCAATAACCAAATGCTTTGTATGTATTATCTGTGTTGCAGGTGGAGCTGGAGGGTTGGGTGCATCTGTGGGAAAACCCCAATGGCATCCCATCTGCCGACATTTCATGGCTTAAAGAGGACACTGAAAGAGGGCTTTTCACCCCCATTCAGATGTATAAGGATGTCAATGGTCTGGTGAAGAGGCGACGGGTGATGAAGTCAGACCGTATGTGGTTTTATCCACCAGAACCTCCCGGCTATGTAAAGGGGGCTATACCCCTGCCACAGCTCTTTTTTCGGAGCCGCGTCTTTGTGTGGCGCCCTGTTGGAGTGTGGAAGTGCTCCCTGAAGTGTCCTCGAGGTGATGAGTGTGAGGGCAGAGGAAAGAATGTGTACCTTTACAAGTCTGGCTACCACACCAGGGTAATACTTATTTCCAGTTAGATTGGTTATTGTTATTTATTATTATGTAGATGAACTGTCACAGAAGGAACACAGTAGAAAATAATATCCTGCTATTCAACATTATGTTACATTGCAGGTACGTCACATCTGCGACGTATCCAGTTGGTACAGCAGGCTGACGGAGGTCCTGTGCTGTGGACCATGCCTCAAAGCAGCCAGGGGCGGCAAAGGTGGCAAAATGGGTCGGTGCATGGCGTGGGATCAATCCATTTTATCCCAACTTAGCGAGGCTCATCAAGCTATGTTCCCTGCCATTCTCACCTCCAAGTGAGTATAGTCAACATATGTGCATTTAACAAACTTTAAAGTCGTCACTCTAATAAACATCAACACAATGATTGTGACTCTACTTACAGGCGTGGCGTGGATAGGAATGTTGTGCGCCTTCTGAGGGACCGGACCGAAGGGAACACCATGGTCAAGGTGTGGCGGCAGATACAGGAGAATCACACTGAGTTGTACTTTCAGCGCAAGGACCTGTACACCACACTCCTCATGACTGTGGCTGAACCCGGAGGTATTGTGTCTGCGCTCGGACACATGTTTCAGCCACCGCCTCCTCCGAGAGAGCTTCCGTCCGCGCGGCTCTTGCGCCACGCCTTCCTGCTGTCAGAGGCTGACAACGTGCAGGATTATTATTAGGAAGCCAGATCCTCTCCACCTTTGGCACTGTGCTGAAAATGGATTCCACCAAGAAAGTATGTAAATCAAAACGTAATGCTATACTCTCTGATGTACTGATGTATTGTTAAGTTTCTGTTTGGTTTTCAATTAAGCAAATGTTCACACAAAATGTTTAAGAAAAAAAAATCCCCTTTCCATATAATCTAACAGATCAAATAATGCAAACTTGACTTTTTAAAAAGGTGGTGAAGAAGCTGTCTGGGGAGGCTAAAGGCTCTGCTGAGTGGTTCACCAGTATTGGAAACGAGCACTCCCAAATAGTTTCATTCGTGCTGACCTGTGAGGAGTCAACAGAGAAGCTGCAACCCATGTGCCACGCGGTCGTGGAGGGGTTCTGGCTGGCAAATCAGCCAGTCCCGAAAATACTGTACGTCGACCGTGGGTGTTGCTCTTCGCGCGTCCCGACAGCGGTGGAGTCTTTGTTCCAGCCGTGGGTGGACAGTGGGATGGTTGTGCGTCTGGACATATTCCACTGGATCCACCGCTTTGACGCAGCCATACGAACAGAGTCACACTCCAAATATGCTGCGTTCAAGTCTGCTCTAGCTGGGGCAGTGCTGGCCTACAACCGCACAGACTTGGACCTGCTCATCAAGGCTGTCAGAGCCAAGGACCCGGCCAGCCTGAAGTCCGTCTCTGACAAGGACATGGTCCAGCTCTATGTTTCCAAGGAGCAGCTCAAACACCACGTGCGGAGAGTCACACTCGGGGCTCAAGAGACATTCCAACTCATCCAGATGGCCATTGAGGAGCTGAAAGGTCCTGCTGGGCTGGATGAGAGTGGAGTGAGCCTCTTCAAAACACCTGGTATTAAAGACAAAAAACAAATGTTTTTACAACATCAATAAAGTAAAGTGAACTAACACACTGCATTGATGTATTGATCTATGTATGTATGTGTGTGTTTTTACAGAGGCCATTGATGAGATGTGGGCAGGGCAGCAGCGACACCTGGAGTGCATTCAGGATCCGCCAGACATGAGTATGTACAGGGTGGCACGCAGCTCAACAATCAACAACGTGGATGTGGCCTACTACAAATGTTTGCGTGGAAGCAATAGCCTGGAAGGATTCCACAAAGTGCTGCCGCACATGATTCCAGGTACACAGGTGTAGTTTGCATAGTACTTGAAACAAATTAAACATGTGACCCTGTCATTATTCAAATACTTATTTTTGTGTTTGTTTGTTTGTGTGTATGTATGTATGTATGTATATATAATACGGATACCATTTTGACTACTGTTTGCAAGCCTAATTCCACTTCTGGGACATGAAATCTTTACTCAGGTCCCCACTGTGCTGCACGGCCTTATCAGGTTTACTTGATAAGTGGCATTGCAAGGTGGAACTCAGACAGGAGCTCAGATGCCGGGTTTGGTGGCAGAGGACGGCACCACAGGACATACTCGTCACCGCTGATTGCCCGCCTCAATGCCCGCTGTCAGCAGCTCTTTGGAGAGGTTGTGGAGGAGAATTTCTGGGCCCCTGCTGATGTTCCCTCCGACGAGCTGCTCGGGTTGGAGTACCTGTTCAGCCAAAGCACGGGGGAATCAGGACCCTTCTCTCTTCAGGGCATCATTAACGATGGGCCTGATCCAGAGGACGAGGTGCTTCAGCCTGGGCAGATGAATCCAGAGGTGGAAGACGAGGCGTACCAGAGCGACGTGGAGGCACAAGATGATGTCTTGGATGCCGCCCTGACGCACATCACTGTCACCAGTGATGAAACTTCCACTGCTCACCCTCCGGCCTTTGTGAGTAACTGTGTGTCTGCTAGAATGAAATACAATGCACAAGCTGTCCCTCACCACCGCGCAGAGGAACAAGGTTCTCGTTGCCTGGAACCAAGTGGAGGAGCATGACAAGCAGCCACAGAAGTTTAATCAGCTGTACAAGACGCACTGGGGCAACACTCTCTACTGCCGTACCAAGAGGGATGATCTGGTTGATGCTGCTGTTGTACAGAAGGTCAAGATGGCCAAGTGCTACGCACCAGCTCAGCAAAACATCAGCGTACACCACAACAGGCTGATGTACACGTTGGTTAAACTATTGTGGCTGCGTGTAAGTCATGGACCTCGCAGCAGTCCAGAAAAGCCCTCCATCTTGAAGGCGTATGAGAGGATCCAGCACCGGATTTTGTTGGATGATCCGGTCTTGTGCAAAGCTGGCATTCCTCTGCCCAAGATAAACGCTAAGACTGTGCGGGACTTCATCCAGCACCAAGAGAGGCTCCTCAACCTACATGCCACCAAACAACCGTCCACCATCTGCAAGACCACCTCCATCTCATCCGTAGCCCTACCTCCAGCACCACACCAGCCAGCGGTCCTCCCTCCACCAGACTACCCCCTGATGGAATATGTGCCAACACCCAGCACAGCAGGGACAAAAGTCCTGAAGGGAAGGACCGACACAACTGTGTCATGGGCCCAGCCTCAACCACCACCTGTGCTACTGCCACCACAGGTGAAAAAAACCCCTGCCACCTCTACCATCAGCAGACCTGTGGCCTCCCTCTCTGCACCTGCAGCAGCCCCAGAGATTGCCGGCCCCTCCACACGGCACATAATACCTGCCAGTCCGACAACCTCCGGGATGATTGCTGCATCGTCTACAGTGGTCCCTCCGACTCCGCCCAGTCCTCCATTCTGGGCGAGAGCAACACAGTACAAACGTAAGATGAGGGAACACCCCACAGAGGTAGGAGGCAAGCTGTCACGGATGCAGAAACTTCCAATCTGTACGCTCTGCAACAGCACAACACAGGGACATAAAAAATATTTAAAAAATACTTTCTGCCCTGTAAAAATGATGTCAACATCTAAACAACTACACAGCAGAGTGTACAGCAGCTACGAACATTTCATGTCTGTTGTTGACAGTTTGGACAAATGAACTGTGAATATGCTGCATTGTACATGTTGTAAATAGTTGCCATACTCTTGATATATTGTAAATAGTTTCCATTTTCATGTACATATTGTAAATAGTTTCCATACTCTTGATATATTGTTAATAGTTTCCATTTTCATGTATATATTGTAAATAGTTGCCATACTCTTGATATATTATTGTAAATAGTTTCCATACTCTTGATATATTGTTAATAGTTTCCATTTTCATGTACATATTGTAAATAGTTGCCATACTCTTGATATATTATTGTAAATAGTTTCCATACTCTTGATATATTGTTAATAGTTTCCATTTTCATGTACATATTGTAAATAGTTGCCATACTCTTGATATATTGTTAATAGTTGCCATTTTCATGTACATGTGCTTTTATAAATTGTAAATAGCCTTCATTTTTACTCATTTAATTCTCTATCCTATTCAATTACATCTTTTAAGTTATCTAAACTGTAGTGTTTTGGTGTAGGTAGAAATTCTACTTGCATGTCATTGGACAAATTGTAAATCATTTCAATTTTCATGTACATGTTCTTTTTATTACATTGTATTCATTATCGTGTTCAGTGATACTTTGTTTACACTGTGGCGCTGTTTTTTTCCCCTCCAAGTGTGTGTCCCTCATTTCATGCAGTTTGTTCAGTAAAGTGTTCAGTAACAATGAGCTGTGGAATATCAATTATTGAATGCAAAATTGGGGGTTTATTTGTTTAT